ACACAAAAATCGAACCAATTTGTAAAGCCCTAGAAATTGATCGACAACAATGTGATCAAGCTATGATCTCGGTTGGCTTTAATGGTCTCGATTCTCTGCTCATATATACACAATTGTTAAAGAAAGCACTTTTAGAAATCGAAGATGACGATAGAAAATTTCTCAAAGACCTGGCTGAATATTGTCGTGAACAGGATGATATTCTTGAAGATCAAATTAAACAAGTTGAAAATGAATATCGTAATCATACGCCAATATGGTGGTATACAGCTGAAACATTTATTTATCCTATGCTTAATCGTGGACCTCGACTTATGGATATTAATATTATACTCAAAATGGGCTTTTTTATTCGTCATTTACATCAACACATTCAAAATTTATATCATAAACAACAATCTGAGAACATGAACACAGCTGCTCCGTTCAAAGTTTATCGTGATCAAGGTTTAGCATTAGAAGACTTTGAAAAAATGAAAAAAAGCATAAATCAATTAATGTCTTTCAATAATTTTCTATCAACAAGTCTCAATCAGAATATTTCCTTTCCAAAATTTGCACGACCAGCAGCATTTAATGATCCCAATAAATTTGGCATACTCTTCATTATGACTATTGATCCTGATGTATGTACAAAATCAAAAATTCCATTTGCTGATGTTAGTCAAGTTGGCTTTTTCGAAGGCCAAGAAGCCGAAATTCTTTTTACAACACATACAATATTTCGAATCGATAAAATTCAACGAGTTCATGACGATCATACTGGTCGTCTATGGGAAGTCAAGCTTACTCTTGTGGGTAATGATAATCACGAATTAAACAAACTTACAGCACAATTACGCCAAGAGTTCAATTGGACAACAGGATGGTCTCGACTTGGTCATATACTTCTTAAAGTGGGTGAGCCTGCAAAAGCAGAACAACTCTATCAGATTCTCCTCGAAAAGGCATCTTCTGATAAAGAGAGATCGGATTACAGTCATCAACTTGATTGGGTGTATCGGAGTATGGGCGAGTACTCGAAAGCACTTTCATCGTACGAACGATCACTTGAAATCCGAAAAATAGCTCTCCCTCCGAATCATCCCGACTTGGCTACTTCCTACAACAAGTAACGCGACGCAAACGTCGCTAACCCTCTACTGAAAGGATGTGATCTCCTTGAACATATAGTACTCACGAAGAAGAAGATCACAGTACTAATATGCTGCTATGCATC